TTCCTGCCTTATTTGCCAATTATACTTTTCATCCCACTCTCACAAGGACCCAAGGGAGCAATCAGGAGCCACTTTGTTGCACATGGGGCCAGAGCTTGTGGCCTACAAGAAGGGAACATGGGGCACACTCAGCCCCTTGGGAAGTGCAACAGACCAGGAGATTGTAACAGGGCTTCCCCTGATTACCCCAGTTATACATGGTTGATGGGTTACTTAACTTTCCTGCTTTTTGTAGGCCCCATAGACAGATTTTCATAGATTTGCACAGTGAAACAAGCTTTAGGAGAAATGACCTACAATCTGTTCTGCCTCCGACATCATCAAGAGTCTTGCCAGCTGTGTTCCAATAGCAGATACCTTATTACTGCTGATGATGTAAGAGACAGAGGAAAAAACAGCTGGATTTCCATATTCCAAGGAGAATTTGTGATGCTGGCAGCCAGAAAAAAGTATCTTTTGACTTACAAACTGAGCACATTGGATGTGGAAGTCATTGAAAGAGAATAAATAAGAAACCCCATGAAGTCATTACAACAGAGTCACTTTTCAGAGTGTAACTGTACTTTAAGCAATAAAACATGACAGACCATGCAGTAGTTCTGATTAATATACACCTCAGGTGTGTACTAAGGCTGAGGCAGGAAGGGAAATATGGGACTGAGAAGAGGTAGGTCACCATTTGCACAAGGGGAAAAGAAGATCATAACAGCAGGAAGCAGGGTTGAGAGAGAGAATGACTTGATTAAAAGATGGGAAGGCCATCATTCAGTGTAATTATAAAATGTACGATTTAAATTGAATTTTAGATATTTTAAAATCTACATTTATTTAATTATGCAGTGGATTTATATGCTTCCTTTTGGTTTTCATCTGAATATATTGGACATATCGATCGATAATTTTCTTTATTAATGTAGTTGCCAGGAGAAAAAAGAAAGAAGTTCTGACTTTATGATATACTGTTGATAGCCTGTCAAAGCCATGTGACAGGATATTCAAGAACAAGGAAGGACTTTTGAATCTAGTTTGCTTGTTTATGTGGTTGCAGGAATATTACTATTTTTTAAGAATTTTTCATGTGAGTAGCAAAGTTCTACCCATAAAGCCCTGAGTCTTCTATTAATAGTTCTAGGTCTTCTTTTCTGGTGACTCACAGTGTTCACCGGGAATGGCAAATGAATTCTTTTAGTACAGAACCCTTGTTCCTCTGGAAAGACTGATTTTTCTTGTTGGTGAATACTTTATTTTAAGTGAGTGTTTTACTGTCTTTCTTTCATGGAAGGTAAGGAGGGGGCACAGTTTCACTGGACATCCCTTCTTTAGTGTGGTTAGGAGAAGAAGATTGGTCTGGGGGGAATGAGAAAGCTGCAATTCATTGTGAGTAGTTACCTGAAGTTTTTTTCAAGGCAATTGGTGACATGTAAATGTATGAGAATTCAGAGAAGGAAGAGAAGTTGAGTGGTAAGAGAGGTAATAATGATGAGTTAACCAGATTGCAAACAACCTTCATAAGTATAAGATGGAGAATCTGTATATGGAATAATTTTCATTTTTAAAGAGTCTTGCTACAGGTCTGTGTAATAGAAGTTTCTAAGGAGTTCTGTGTCTTCTTTGAGAGAGAAAGAATTTTATTGAGAACTTCAGGCCTGGGCCAGCAGCTTCTCAGAGGCCTGAGAAATTCCTTGATTCTTATTAGAATCATTATCTTCCCAAATGTATTGAGGTCCTGATACAATCTTTATTTTAATTTTAAAATCACCATTTGTTGGTGCTAGAAACTTGTAGAGTTTACTTTTCCATGCCCAAAACTCTCCTTTTCATTTATTTTTCATTATCAATCAATCAATCAACATTTATTAAGTGCCTACTTTGATTAATTCATTTTGCTTAAGATTATGGCTGAGTTATATTTATTGTTGGGGAGAGAGGCATGAAAAAAGGCCCTGTTTTTTTTTCTTGGATAGCCTATCTCCCTTTTTGGCCACTGAACTACACCCTCTCTCTGGTCTGATTTGGTCACTATAGAGAGGTACCTGCAAGTATGTGTGTTTATGGCTATTTGGAGATTACTGATATCTCTCAGATAAGTAGATTTTCTACTGTTTTCACTCTTCACTTATCTAAAATGTTGGTCTGGAGGCCAATTGTTATACTGACAAGATATTGTTAATGACCTCTCATCCCATATGGATGGTTCAAAAAGAAAATTTGAAAATGAAATCTGGAAGACATAATTCTCCACTTTACCATCTTTTTTTCCTTCCTGACTACTTGATGATGCAGAAGTGGACAACAAGCCTCCTAACTATATCCTTTTTGATCTTTTTCCTAGTACAGATGCAGCCGCTTTCTATTCCCTGCCCCAATGAACGTCTGCACTAGGCCCCAGCCTTGGAGTGATTTACCTGAAGAGTAACGCCATTTATCTGAAAACTACTGTGAGTACCTTCTGCCTTATATGAAAGACTTTTTGATATACATGTATGTATGTGTGTATATATGTATATGTATGTATATGCATATGTGCATATTTATATAAATGTATATATTTTTAAAAGGAAAGAAACAGCCCCTGCAATTATAAATGCAGGTAAAATTTCAGATTGCTATTTACCTGGGGTATAATTTTTGTTTAAAGGCAACTGAAATTGGGTCCCCAGTCTATTGTTTTGTTGTTACTGTTGTTGCTAGGGCCTGTGAGGTGTGTCTCATGTGGTTTCACACCCTCCTACTCTGATATCTGGGCCTTACAGAGCAATGGAGTACTGCTGAGGTTGAAGCTCTGAATGCCTCATAGGCTTGGGGGCTCTTCTGCTTCGTAACCTGTGCTCACCCTGTGATTGTGACTACTCTTGTCAGATGTTTGTCTCTTGACCGAGTTCTATGACACTTTGCTCAGGTGTCATTTCACACCATCTGAGTCAAATATGTGTGCCCTGCTTTGTGTTTTAACATGATTATCTGAGTGGGATCTTCATGCCCTATGCTCAACCTATACAACTCTTCTATTTGGAGACTCTTTGGGGTTCTGTGCTACTCAAGCCAGATCTCTATGCATTCAAATCCAGGGATAAATCAAACAGTGAGCATTTATTAAACACCTGTTGTGTGCTAGGCACAGTGCTAAGTGCTGGAGCTATAAGGGGAAAAAAATCAAATAATCCCTGCTGTCAGGGAGCTTACATTCCATTAGAGAAGACAATATGCAGGTATATGAATATAGTTTGTATATATGTGCATGTAATGAATACAAGGTGGTTAACTACATGGTATTTGGGAGGGAAGGCACTAGTAGTTGAAGGAATCAGGAAAGACTTTATGTAGAAGCTGGTGCTTGAGTAGCATCTTGAAGGAAATTAGAGATTCCACAAGGGAGGTAGGGAGGGAGTGCTTTCCAGGCATGGAATGGGGAATGGCCAGTGGAAAGACACGGAGATGGGGAGAAGTATCATCTGTAAGAAAGAAAGAAGGTCAGTTTGATTGGACTGCAGATCATGGAAAGGGGAATACTGTATGATGTGTCTGTAAAGATAGGTTGGTACCAGGATGTGAGGAGCTTTAAAAGCCAAACAAAGGATTTTATATTTATTTGATCATCAACACAATAGGGAGCCACTGGAGTTTATTGAGTGGGAGAGTAATTAATGCTTAAGGTAAATCACTTTGGCAGCTGAGTGGAAGATGGATTGGAAAGAGATAAACTACCCTTGCCAGATAAATATATATATATATATATGTGTGTGTGTGTGTGTGTGTGTGTGTGTGTGTGTGTGTGTATACACACATATGTATATATGTATGAGTGTATCTGTTTTGTAATACCTCAGTTTGATTATTTTAGATCTCTCCCCTGTCTGTTGCTTACATAGGAGGGATGATGAAATTAGAGTGGATATGAATGCTATACCTACAGAAAAAAAAAAGGCCTCTGAAAGATTGATATAAAGTATTCATTAAATACTGCTAAAAATAGCAGATGGATATCTGATTTTTTTTTACTAGAAAAGCCAGAAGCTTAAATTGTTTAAAAGCTATGCATGCAGACTAACATAATTAGCCATTTCAGAAAAAACACAGTTGTTGTCATTTTTTAAATTTTACTATATGGTATCAGGCAGGTAGCATTCTGCATAATTTTCTCTTCCCATAACTGAAGACTCTTTGGAATACAAACTCAAAGGGGATAAGCAAGCCATTTTGTATCATTAACATTTCACATCACCTAAGAAATAATCTTTGTTAACTGAGGGACATATGGATTTCTGATATTCAATTTAGGCAAATCATAAGCCCCTAAAGGAGAACAGAAATTCCCAAACTCATCTCTTGCTAGAATTCTTCAAAGTGCTGATGAGTTTAGAGGATTGAGAAATAAAAAGATGGCAGAAGATCACAGGTGGGGTTTCTGCATGCCAGTCCCAGGTAGCTTTTTAGTAAAACACTTTACTTCATTCTTAAGGGTATAAAGGGCTAAGAGTACTTGATTAGTTACCAGAAAAGGGATGCTTTTTTTCTGGATTCCTTCATGGCATGACTAAGCCTCCACAAGCAGCAGTTGCATTAGGACACAGGCTGATTTGGGGGCCACACAGGAGGTATAGGGAGAAACAGGGGCACTTCGTGAGTTCCAACTGATTAGAAATGCTGTCTATACTATCAATCAGTCATTCAGTCCACATTTATTAACAGCCTACCATGTGTCAGGCACTGTGCTAAGCCCTGGGGATACAAAAAGAGGCAAAAGACAGTCCCTGTACCCAAGAAGCTTTCAATCTAATGGGGAAGACAACACATAAACAAATGTACACAAAGCAAGCTACATGCAAGATAAATAGGAAATAATTAGCAGGGAGAAGACAATAGAGTTACCTCAGAAGATAGGATTGTGGCATAGTGTCTCTGTTGCCTCTGCCCAGAGAACACCCTCAGCCACCAGAGGAATATGCAGGTAAAACCCTACTATATTTAAGTAAATAGCTCTTGCATGTTGTAATACGTACCGTGAGTTGAGCGTTTTGTGGTTTTATCACTTCTGGGCAGCAAAGTAGGTAGATGGAGATAAAGAGCTGATTCTGTTCTGTTTTATTGTGACCTTCCAGAAAGATAAGATAAAATTAATTTATCTTTAAAAACTAATTTTTAATTTTTTAAAGGACTAAGAGCATAAAATGCATATATAGTCCAATACAACAAACATTTATTAAGCACCAACTGTATGTAGAATGCTGTATGGGGTTTCAGGGAAGATGACAAATAAGATATGGTTCCTACCCTAAGTGAGCTTACAGTGAAATAAGAAACCAACCCATGTAACTCTAATGCATAGTGTCAACACATAGTGTGAAAGTTAACAATACAAAGTGCTATGTGAGATCTAGGATTAGGTCTTTTCCAGGGGGCCAAAAAATGTCATAAATGGATATAAAAACACTAGATTTCATCTTTAAAGGCAGATACTAAGAAAACAAAACTGAGAGTTGATTTTGATGGTCAGTTCTTTGCATTCGGGCATGATAGGGTTTCTATATTACAAGTTATTTATAAAGTTCCTGGCCCTCATATTCAGGAGGTGCCTTTGCTGTTATCAGTAGGCATGGCAAATACAGAAAGCAGAAGTATTGAGAGTTATAAAGAAAGATGGTAAAGAGCTGAAGACAAAAATGCTATGTCCATAGTAGCTTCTATTACAGTACTACGTAATAGTTTCTATTATAATAGTAACCCTTTCATATCTTCAGGTTAAAATGCTGAATGCAGTTCACCAATTATATTTTAGAATGATGCAGGACAGTAAATGCCACAAAGGGAGGAGACCATGTCTTTGGTAACCTATATATCTCCCCTAGCACCTAGCAGAGTGTTTTGTATATTGGAAACAATTAACAAATGTTTATTGAATTAAAGATTAAATTGAAATCTGAAGTGTTGAGGATAGGGATTCTCAAGTTTGGTTTATATATCTCCCTTACTACTAACCCCAGGATGTCTCCAATTATCTTAAGGGTGGTCCAGAAATTCTCAAAAACAAATGAGCTTGAAAAAGATAAATAGATAAGACAGTCTAGGGTTTGGGAGGAGAAGGGGAGGTTGTCATCCCCCAAAACTTTGGATATGAATTTGTCTAATTGTATTTAATTTGTTGGTGACCCAATAGTTACTCTTCGGTGGCTGATCAGAAGAATTAGACTAAGTAGTTCACATCTAACTACTCTGATAAGTTGAGGAAGGGTTAATGTGTATGAGAGAGAGTTGGAACCCACAGGAGAGAGCACATGGGAAAAAGAACACTTCTCTTCACAGACCCTAGAGAGTGAGAGGAGCTCACAGAGATAAAATATTTATTTCCCATATGTTGGCAAAAATGCATTGCCGTTACTGTATATACACAGTATGTACAAAAGCTTGTGAAATGTATATGTAAAATGTTACAAATGTGGCTGATTTCCATTTGCTTTACATTCTAAATAGCCAGTATATCTTCAGAAATCTTAGGGCATATTTTCTAATGTGCATACAATAGGGACTAATTTAGAAAAAGTCACTAGCCTGCACTGCGTTAAACCACTACCAAGTTTGAGCAAGAAACTTAACAGCTCCTGTCAGGAGAGAGTTAAAATCCATTTGAGGCCTGCAAGCTAACTCCAGCTGCCAGTCACCTAAAAACAAATCCTTGAAGTAGACTCTTTTCCAGAACAGAAATGTATGCAGTGGGAAGACGAAAAATGTTTTGTTCTGTTTGAGCACTTGGGGGACATTTGGTCCAGGCTGACCGTTGAAAGGCAGGTGCCTGAAGCCACATATTTTTTTTTTAATTTTAAAATGTAATGCTTAGCCAATGTGGTTGGAGGAAATGCACAATGATTGGCCTGTAGTCTGTGGATGAGTGCAGAGTACACCCAGTTTTGCTTTGCATATATTTACGAAACATCTGCCCTCTTCTTGTTCTTAAACCACTCCCTCCGCCTTTTCCCCTTTTTCCCCTGGTTGGTTTTTGTTGTTGTTGGCTTGTTTAACTTTTTCATTTGGGTTTTCCTTTTCCAGTTGAACAGCAACTTCGTCAGGGTGTGTAATTTTTACACACTTATGGTGAAAGAGAAAGGAAAAACCAGAGAGAGAGAGAGAGAGAGAGAGAGAGAGAGAGAGAGAGAGAGAGAGAGAGAGACAAAGAAAACCAAGGAAAGGAGAGAGAGAGGAAACCAAGGAAAGAGGAGAAAGGATAAAGAGGTGAGAGGAAGAAAGGAAAAAGAAAGAAAATGATGAGAGGAAGGAAGTGAGGAAGGAAGGGAGGGAGGAAGGAAGGGAGAAAGACAACGAGGGGAGGGGGAAGAGAGAGGAAGGAGATCAGAGAGCTTGGCAAACTAACCTTTGGCATGGTGACCAGGAGGAAGATTCTAGTGGGGATTTTGTCTTCCTGAAATGCTTCTTGGAGTCAGCTTGTGTGCTGCTGCCCTCTAAAGGCTCCAAAGAAGAATTAACAGCTGCAAGAGTTTGATGAGACTGGCTGTCATGCCCTCCAATTTGCCAGATTTTTGCAATTTTAAAAATATGTATAAGTAAGGTTGACATTTTTGCTTGATAAGTTAGTTGGGCATCATGTCATTTGGCAGACTTCATAGGGTCTAATTGACCCACCTGTGCCTTTCTGCCCTTTGAATTGTACTGTTTCAAATATGTCTTTGATACTCCCATGTATCTCAAATATAGAATATTGAGGTCAAAAGAAAAAATTGGAAGAGGTCAAATGGAAGCTGTTCTTGGGGAAAGCCTTTTTGCAGTAGAGTGAGGAAAATAGTACCACAGTAGAAGGGTAGGTGTGGAGCAAGGCGAAAAGAAATGGTAACTAAAAGAAACAGACACTAAGTTTATATTTTGTCTTCCAGATATAACCCCAATATTCCTGTGCTATGAATGCTCCCCCAAAGTAAACCAAGTCTCTTAAGTGACAACAAAAGGAAGTCAGTGGTGCAATATCTGGCAGGAAGTATTATCAATGTGGGGTGGGGAGGAAAGTAAAGGCATTTATATAGAGGGCAAAATAATTTTTACTTAAAAAAGGGGTGACATTTTATCTTGCTTATCATCCCTTTGCTTCAGGAAAGGTTTCATTCTCTCTCCACAAATCACATAAACTTAGAGTCTCAAAGCCTGAGTTTGAATCCCAGCTCTGCTATTTACTACTTTTATGACATTGGACAAGTCACTTAGCCTCTTTTGGCCTCCGTTTCCCCAATTGTAAAATGAAAGGTTTGGATTAGGTGGACTCTAAGGTCCCTTTCAGCTCTAGAACTAGGATCAGAAATCAGGATGGATTTGGTCTGTGTACATATTTCTAATAAAATAGTTTCCTTAGTCTTCAGATACTAAATATAAGTGAAAAAATATATTATGTATGTTGCTTATCTTGTGGTAGTTAGCTCTTTGGTAACTCTCTGACAAAATGCCCTTCCTGGCTTCAGACAGAGCGACCAGTCAGAGTAGGGACACTGCTTTTGAATAGGAATGAGACTTAATTAGAATTCAGTCTATGACTTCTTTTACAATTGATTCTCATTACAGGCTCTCTCTTAAAGTCTGTGTACTCAAATCATATAATAAAACAACTTGTTTCACTTGTACTGGTTTCCTCTACATTGAAAAGCCTATCTGCCCATCTTCCTTTTACTCTGGTATTTACCCTTCCATCTCTGCCTGCTTCTCTCTGAAGATGCTCAACTTTGCCACCTGTTGAACCGGAAACATATCATGCCAGGTCTTGGTATCTCTACATTGTAAATGCTTTAAATATGAATTTTAAATTCTCGTTACAATAAATCATTACAGAACATTCCATATAATAAACCAATTTCCATACCCATAGAAACAACATGCTTAGTTGATCTGGTTACAAATTCAAAACCATAAATAATCCTTCTAGTCACCGTCCATGGAAGACTAACAGAGGACTTTTTTTTGGTGTTATTTTGATTATAAATTGGGCAGGAGAGCTGAGCTGACCTATAGCTGAGCTCTTTAGGTTTCTTTCTCCTAACATCAAATAACAATTATCCTATAACTTCCCTCACCCTTTCCAAATATATTCCAGTAATCTAAATAAACAAAGCCCATCTAAACTCCCCAACTACACATGAAAGTAGAACATCAGCCAAAGAAATCCTTAAGGGGATGGGAGTTAAGCTGTTCCTTTACCTACTTCATTTACCTGCTTTTTCATCAATTCACCTCCTAATTCACCTCAGAATGGCTGCTGCTTCATTTGAGGCCTGAGGACTGGGGATTTGCTGTCAAGTCATGTATTTAGTTTTAAAAATCAATACCACAAATAATTTGAGTATCCATAGGCTATGTTTCACAAGGGGAGTTTGCATGTTTTTAATCACACTGACTATTGCTGGGTAAGTGGCTATAACTGTAAAAAACCTTCACTGGTATTTTTCCAGACCATGTTAGAACTATTATGAAAAAGGATGTGTTCTTGGATAATGTCAGCCATACGTAGCTCAAGTTGTCTAAAGTACTAAGACAGGGTCTTTTTTATGCAGTCAGCAGAGACCAAATGTGGAGCTGCTTGCTTGGCCCATATGCTTTAATGTGTTCCCAGTTAGGCCATTACTAGAGGGGAAAAAAACAAGGATCAGCTTGTTTCAAAACAAGGGACATACAGGACCTCCTGTCTCTCTCCCCCACCCCCCCCACCCCCTTCAGAAAAAAAAAAATCAAGTTATCTTTAACAGATTCTAAAAATGCCTTTTCCCAAATATGCAGTCAGTTCCTTCAAAGGGCCCTTTGTTTATTTTCAGGAAGAAACCCAAGACAGCTGAAAACCAGAAGGCATCTGAGGAGAATGAGATTACTCAGCCGGGTGGATGCAGCGCCAAGCCAGGCCTTCCCTGCCTGAACTTTGAAGCTGTTCCGTCTCCAGACTCAGCCCTCATCCACTCAGCATATTCACTGACAAACTCACACGCTCACACCGGGTCATCTGATTGTGAGTACACCAATTCAGTGACAGTATCTGATGTGGTACTTAGAACAGCCTATTTCTTCTGACTTACTGGATTGCAGCAGACTATTTCCATTTGTGACCAAGGTTTTCCCTCCAACCATTTTTACTTGAAGTCTCCACTGATATTTAAAATATCATCATATATGTAGGATGACCACACCGTTATATCACAGAGGGTTGTTTTAGTGCAAAAACAATAGATTTACTTTCAGTCTGTCGACTTAGAAAATAAGTTGTAGCATTACTTTTTAGTTATTCCTTTATAGTGTCCCCGTACACTAAAACCCTACTTCCCTCATTGACAAATTGAATGATGCATTGTGAACCTCAGAAGTCTAGTAAGACCCCAGGATACATCCATTTTGGAAGTGTATGAAACATCTCAGATGCCCATTGGTTATTGGAATCCCATATTGTTTGTCTAAATTTTTCCCTTTAAAGTTTGTAATTGATTTTGAAGTGGTTAAAGGATAGCATAAATTTAACAGAAGAAAAGGAAATGGTTTCCAAGAATTTAGAAACCACCCAGACTTCACTTAAGCCAATAAGATTTCAGGTTAAAAATATTTTTTAATTAAAAAAAATGCCTGAGGGCTAAATTTGGAAGTGGGCAGCCTATTGAGCTCTTCCCTATTGAAATCACTTCATTGCTGTTTATTTTTGCTGTCTTCCCACTGATCTGGGAGCCACTTTTCCAAATTCTATTTTAAGAAAGTTGATAAATCACGTTTAGGGGATTTTTTTTCCTTTTATTTTCTGGAACTTTACCCAGTGCCTGAAAGCAGAAACAAATATGTAAGACAATGGAAAGGAGGCAGTGTAGAACGTCTTTGGGGTTTGGTCCCAAAGAAAATTCTTTTCAGTATCAAGATATAGCTCTTGGATCTGTGTGTTTAAAGAATATTAATAACAGGCAAAGAACTGGCAGATATGCCTCCCAGTGAATAAAATAAAAAAGCCTTATTTTCAAACAAGGGTGGCATTAATCCCATTCATAAAAATCAAAGTATTAATGAGAAAATGAGATTCCAAATCTCTCATCAATACTTTCCCAACAGTACAGATGTAAAACTATGCAAGAAACCTCCACAAAGAAGCCAAAAGTTAGATGAGCTTAACATCTTTCTTGCCCATTCATCTGTTCTCTCTGGGTAGAGGATAAAACTTAACAGGCAAAGATTTGGTGAAAGAAGCTTGTGATCTTCTTGCCTCAGCTGAGCTGAGGACACTTACCAACTTTTTTTTAACTTTATTTTTTTTTCAACTAATGAAAATCCACCTTATTTCTCTCCCATTAAAAAAGAAAGAAAAACAAAACTCTTGTAACAAATATGCATAATCAAGAAAAACAGATTATCCCACTGGCCAGGTTCAAAAATATATGTCTCAATATGCACCTTGAGTTCATCACCTCTTTCTCAGGAAGTATACTTACCAACTGATACTGGAAAGTAGTGGGAAAGGGAGGAGTAACCTGATATTCAAATTTGTACCCTGTAAAGTCTGAGGTCAGCTGGCTTCTCTGTACAGATGCCTATGGGAAGAGAGGAAGGTAAAGGGATAAGCATTTATTAAGCACCTGTGATGTGCAAGGCTCTGTTAAGTGCTGTACAAATATGTCCTTTGATCCTCATCAGTAACTCTGGTTATTGTTGTTCAGTCATTTCAGTCATGTCTGACCCTTTGTGACCCCATGTTGGTTTTTCTTAGCAGGTATTGGAGTGGTTTGCTATTTCCTTCTCCAGTTCATTTTACAAATGAGGAAACTGAGGCAAACAGGGTTAAGTTACTTGCCCAGGGTTACATAGCTAGTAAGTGTCTGAGGCCATGCTTGAACTCAGGAGGATGAATCTTCTTGATTTCAGGCCTGGCACTCTCTCCACTGCACCACCTGGGTGCCTCAGTAACCTCTAGGAAGTAGATGCTGTTATGATCCCCCATTTTACAGGAAAGTGAGGCAAAGTTAAGTGACTTGCCCAGGATCACATAGCTAGTAAGTGTCTGAGGCTACATTTGAACTCAAGTCTTTCTGACTCCATGTTCAGATGCTGTTATCTACTGTGCCGCCTAGCTGCCTTTAGGAGTCTAGAGGCAGGGATATTGTTCTGTGGTCCACCATGCTTGAAAGGACAGCCCTTTTGCCTGGCGGTTTCCATTCTTGTAGTAATCACAGTAGAGATTGGAAAACAACATGGCATTGTGCCCATACATATGTGTACATTCTCTTCTTATCTCCCAGGAAGATGGCACGCTGCTGAGTATGGAGCCCATGGCTTTCTTGTGTTGAATTTCATGACGTGGCTCTATTCCATATGAACAGTAACAAATAGTAGTTTTGACCCAGACCTGCGTCAAGAAAAATTAATTGTTCTGATAAATAGAAATACACTTACCTTATTCAACATTGTACTTTACCACATATATCTTTATTAACCCCAGTGCTTGCCATTATCCTAAAATATGCACAAAGAGGCTTCTCTTTATCAGCTGGAATGATGTGAACATGGTATTCCCGATACAACAGTACCCCACTAATTCAAAAGAAGCTAATGGATTTCTGCTCAGTAGGATGACTGACAAGAGTAGAGGGTGAAGAAGAGAGGGAGAAAGAAGAATCACCATCTCTTCATAGGGTTCTTTTTTTGTTGTTTGTTTATTTTCAAGATAAAGTCTGTCCCACTGTTCCAACCTACTATTTTGTTTGGTTTTAGTTTTCTCTAGAAAAAAATATATATTTAGGTTCTAGTTTGTCCTGCTTTGAGACTCAAAATCAAATTGTAAAATTGTTTTGGGAAAGATTCACAGAAATCTGTCCATTTGAAGATTTTCTGAGGCAGGAGAGAAGAGAGGCTTATTTTAAGTAGTTAAAGTTTTTGGATGGTCTACTTACATTCAAGAGTTTTATCTTTCTTCTCAAGTCTTATTCTTGCCATAGATCAATTTAAAATCTTAATTTCTGTAAGGTAAAGGCTTCAGTTCCCATTTATAACTAATAAATTTGGGGCATTTAAAAATAGTGTCCTTGACATGTTAGTCTCCTTAACTTCAGAAACATTCACTAGGGTGTGGTGTTCTGAGCATTCACAGGTTACTGAATTTTTATAGCACCTTTCTATTTGTCATGTGCTTGACAATATTATTCTTAGTGGTTCCTTATAATATCCTTTTCCTGTCAGTCAGTATCATTCTTCCCAATTTACAGATGAAAAAACTGAGAAAATTGACACCCAGCTTGATGAAATGACTTAGGGCCAGGCTAGTGAGGCAAATTTATTGGTTGTAGCTGGGAGGGTCTGGTTTCTTCTCTCTCTTCCGTGCTGCAGATTGCACCCCTCTCCTGTAGGTCTCTGCTATTGATCACCAAGAGGGTCAGGCATGGAGATGTGAGTAGATTACTCCAAACCCTTCACCCCAAGTGGAAAATAACTCAAGGCACAAGACCTACTGATTAAAAGCATAATTTTTCTATATAGTGGTCAAAACATTATTACTACAGCAAAAAGATGACAAATCTGAGCTCCCAAGTTCTCAGCCAGTCATTTAGCCCACTAAACCATTCTAAATTCTGCAGTAATCCCAATAATATTCAGAAGGAAAAAACAAAAATCAAAAGAAATGTCATTGAGGAGTCCTTTTCTTAAATGATAAAGTTAATATCTCTTCTAAAATTTTTACCAATTTTAAATGTACTTACTAACGTATTTGTCCTGCAGTGAGCTCCCTGAACTGCATCTAAACTCGCCTCCTGCTCACACATTTCAAAAACTTAACTGTATAAACAAATTCAAATGAAAATAATGCACAGCGCAGTGATGTGCTTTTGGAACACCCGGAGTAGGAAAGCCACAGATGTTTGGGACTGAGCAGTTTTAAACTCGAAATAGAGAACCTGAGCTGAGTTGGTGCTATCGTTAAATGTTTCAGGAGAGCTATTAAACCCAGAACATTATTAAGCAGATGACACTCACTGTTTGAGAAGGCCTCCTTGTTTCTTTGTCAAGTTCAGACAAACTATAGAAATACACATCTGTGACAGAAATAGCCCCAGATTTTTCTCACAACTTTCAAATAGGAATATGGACAAGAAGAGCAGATTCTTCTTTACTTTGCTCCTCTGAGATACCCTGCTTGGTAGAGTCCCTGCTCGCAGATAAATTATATCCTCTGTTCGCTGCTATATCTGCACAGTTAGTTACTTTCTGGTATTTTACTCTGTCCACATCAGACTTTCTCATTTCTGTGTCCTTGCCAAAATGTACTTACACATTAGCAGTTTTTTGTTTTTTTATTTTTAATTTAACCTTTACACATTAACAAACTGTTGTGTAGGTGGGTTTAACTTTAGCTCTAGAGATAGTATGATTTCACTGTAGCTTTATACTGTAGAGAAGATTATGGTAAGCTCTTGATTTTCTCTCTCTCCATTGGTGTCCACCCGCCTTCCTCCCCTCCACCCACCCCAGCCAGTCCTTCTGCCTCGCTAATCCATTCCCTGTGTTTAAAATTTTTAGTACTTTGTTCATTTTGAACTTTTTAAGGCTCTTTTTTTTTGGAGAAGAAAACAAAGAAGATTTTTTTTAATGGCAAACTCCATTAATGCCACATTAAGGCTGACGTTTTAATTACACGAAAGTCAGGAAATGCAAAGTTTGGGTTCCCACAGCAACAGTAACTGTCCCCTTGAGTGTCTGCATCACAGCAGAGTCTTTCATGCTTGGATTACACAACACTGGGCATAAGGACATTGTTTCTTACAGTGTGTATGGAGAATAACTGTTTCTCTCTCTCTCTCTCTCTCTCTCTCTCTCTCTCTCTCTCTCTCTCTCTCTCTCTCTCTCTCTCTCTCTCTCTCTCTCTCTCTCTCTCTCTCTCTCTCTCTCTCTCTCCCTCTCTCTCTCGCTGTCTTTCTTTCTGTGTCTGTCTCTTCTCTGTCTTTCTTTCTCTTTGTCTCTCTCTTTTTGTCTCTCTTTGTCTCTTCCTCTTTCTGGCTTTCTCTTTGTCTCTTTCTCTCTGTCTCTCTTTGTTTCTCTCTCTCCCTCCCCCTCTCTGCATTTCCCTTTCTCTCTGTTTCTCTCTCTCTCTGTGTCTCTGTCCCCATCTTTCTCTCTGTCTCGCCCTATGTCTCTCTCTCCCTCCTCCTTTCTGTCTTTCACTCTTTTTCTCTCTCTCTCTCTCTCTCTCTCAACTAATTGAGGGTCTGAGCCTTTTGCTTACCCCCCAAAACAACACGGATATATGTACTGTCACAAAGTGAAACACTACTGCACTGTGTGTGCCCACGGACAGAATTAAAGTTGCTGCGGGAACATTAACTCTGATTTCTGGACTTCCGTGCCAGTCACATTTAAACCATAATGCTTTAATTTTTGGCATGCACTAAACGTGCATTTCATGTACACAGACAGAAAGAAGCATAAAATGTATTTTAAAGAGCAATTAATTACTAACTTTGTGATTAAAAAACATTTGGTGCATGTTCCTTACCATTTAGCATCAGCTGCTGGTCTTAGCCAGGCCTAATAGATGACATACTGTGTCTCATCCTGTATCTCAGATGTACTTACTGTATGTTCCTATTCCTCTAGATAATTAATTCCCTTGGTAAAGCAGTAGGGGAAAAACAAAATGGAAGGAATATGCAAGCATGTAAATAGGGTAAAGGATATTTTGAAGGAAATGATTCACTTCTGTAAATAAGCCCCCTTATTTTCTGAATTAAAGAGCCAGGCAGTCTGATGAGTGGGTTATACACAGGTTTCTGACCCCCCCCCATAACATATGGTCTAGAATCAGAAGACCTACCCTAAAGCAGATTTCCACATGAGTGTTGGGTATGTCCACTGCAGAAGTGATTTGGTTGTTGTTGTATAATGCATCTTCAGGTTCAGGGAGTACTATGGCTATATTCCAATATAACTTAAAAAAAAAGTTGTTGAGACTCAAGTGAATGGGGGACTCCTCCAATAAACTTTAGAAAAAGAATAGACTTTAGAAAACCAGACTTTTCTCCTGTAGTTTTGCCTCTTGGTGAGATGACTGTAAATAAATCTCATTCATGTTAGAAAAGAATATGATTTGGAATAACCACACGAAAAAGTGTTCACGACTAAAAGAAATTGGTAAAAGTACACAATAGAATTGCATCGTGAATGAGAATATATATGCCAGAGCATACAGAATGATTTCACTAAAAGGAATAAGCCTTCACTAAAAGGCCTAAGTAAGAGCCTTGGGGGGAAAGGGAGAGGGTTAGAAACAAATCAAGAATTTGAAACTCTATTATACCTATATCTTTAAAATATCCCTTGGCACATAGCACTTTTTGTTAGGTTTTATTACATGTGGTATTTAATATTTAAGAAAGAGACTTCACTCTCACAGGGCATACAGATTCTGATTTGCTTTTGCTTGGGCTGTCTGCATGTGCAAATATATTTCTATATGAGTGAAAACTGCTCAAGCAAGTTTGAAGGCCTTTTTGGCAAGTTTGACTGTATGTGTTGAGAAAGTCAAACTATAAGGCTGATTCCATAA